TATTAGATCTGTCTGTGATTTTTCTTTTAAATTGAGAAACACTTTTAGAGTTTTTATTTTAAACAGAGAAACTTTTTAGTAAAAAGAGGAATTGTTTTGGTGTAGTGGTGTTGTTCGAAAAAAGAGAAAACAGGTTCAGTTTCATAAATCCGAACTTAGTCTCGATGTTTTTAATTTTCATGTTCTCATTTTTTTTATTTTGACTAATTAACCATCTATCTTTTATGAGCTCTCTTTCTTAGCATGTAACCTTAACAATCAATATTCTCACATGAGTTCTTCATCAAGGTTTTAATACCTTTTTTATTTCTAGATATTGTTAATTTTTTATTATTCTGGTTCAAAACTTTTCTTCTTTATGAGATAATTTTGGATTTATGCTTCCCGTTGCATAAACATTTGATTGTATGGGTTTTTTTTACCATGGTCAGTTGGTTGGTTTTAAGCTTAATCTTTGATGTGATGTTGGAGATGAAGTACAAGTGATTATCATTATTTTTTCCGACCTTTTATAGATTAAATTCACTTTTTGAAGATATTTTTTTCAATATTTTACATAACAATTGACCAGGTGACATTGTTATTGTACCCAGGATAATAGCAAATGATATTTCTTACATGGCTCTAAATTGTTGCATCTGAAAGTGTATTCCTTTTAAAAGCTTTGTTTGGTTCTAAGTTGTATGCATACTTATGGGTTCAATGCAAATAAATTTAACAATGCACTTTTATTGTTTTGAGTATTTTAGCATTATACTTTAGGCTTATTCTGTTTACAAGAGAATACTAAGTGAATTATTTGTTTATGGCAGCTTCAAGGTGCAGTTGATTAAGAAAATAAAGGAGATAGCATCGGGGAGATGTTGTTAATGATATGTGGTATGCAGAGTTCTTATTGATCCTGATATTAATACTTTATTGGTACTTGAAATGTATGAGTCCATACACTTCTTTATCAGCCTGGAAATCCCATATGTATGTATAAATATAGAACACATAAAACAAAATTTTTTGGTCGAGAGATATATTTAACAAACTTAAAGCTAAAAATTTAGGCTATACCAAAGTACAAGATACAAGTATGCATTTTGTTTATTTGTCGATTTTTTGCTTATTTTAATTTATTTTTAAATTTCCTAATGTATTTTTCTTTGTTTATTTGTAGTACCATAGAAATTTAGAAACAAGTCAAATATAAGTAGCCTATAGACCGCAGTTGCACATTCGGACTGGACTAATAATATTGGACCATGCTTTTTTTTAGACTTGAAGTTGTTTTTTGAAAGTATGATGGTATAATATACACATAAATTAAGGTACGCTGCTAATGTAATGTAAATAGAAAAAATATTTAATGTTATGATAAAGTTTATTTCAGTTTTGACATTTGGTTTTGTAGGGATGCTTTTGTGCAAGTTGGTCGACTGGATAGAAAGTATTCTAGAAAAATACAAAGTTTGGAATCCATAGTTGATTAATGTTTGAGTATCCAAGAAGTAGTATTCTATGTATCTTTGATATATGCCTCAAATTTAGTAGAGCATAGATAGGTTTTGTGGAAAACAATTCTTAATATGTTAAGATATGATGATGTACGGATGGTTTTTTATTTGTTTGATTGAAATTACTAATTGTCAATCGGTTTGCTTGAAAATCGAAAATCATTTTCTATTTTTTATTACATACCTTTTCAAAAATATTTTAGGTTATGATATAGTTATTTATTTTTAAGAAAACATATAAGTACATGCCTTAAGCATTTAATAAATAAAAGACTAAAAAGATTAATATATATTATACTAGTTTATAACCCGTGGGAACCACAGTTATAAAATTAATTAAACTTTTATAATAAAAATTTATAATTATTAATCAATTATTTTAAATAAGACATTTTAAATAAATTATTAATTAAGAGATATATCAAAATTTTTAAGTTATTATAACTTCAAATTTAACATATAATTAGAAAATGTAAATTTGAATTTTGAAATGAGTTGCCTAATATATCTATATGACACATGACATAATATTAATAAGGAGTTGTATTAGAGTGACACTTGGTAAAAGAAGATTACAACTATTTATTTATTAGAATAGAGATATATTTTAGTGTAGCTTTTAATAAATATTACTATTTTACAAAAATAAAAATAAAAGCAAGTAATAATATAATATGAAACTAATTAGTTGTTTAGAATTTTTTTTTTAATTTTTTTTTGTCAAATCCCGTTGTTTTCCAAACATAAATGTTTTAATTATAAGATAATGATAATTTCCATATGACATTAATACTTTTGTTAACAGATTCTCTATTAAGATATTTTGTGAAAAAAATGTTTTTTCGTTAGATTCTTCTTATAAATCAGTTATGATGTCACAAAAGTTTGTGACATTCAAAAGGTTATTTTGGTTAGGGTATTACTATAATTGGTTTTCATTCGTAATAAATTGTTTGCCAATGTCATTATTGTTCAAAGTAAATCGTTTTGTTGGAGTTTTACTATAATTATTTTGAAGTATTATGTATTTTATTATTATAAATATTGAAGCAGTGAAAATATTTTTCAGTTTACTGGGTTAACGCTTTATAAAATTGTGGTGTACATGTGCAAAGCTCCAACAAAACTATATGCCCTTTAACCTAAAGGAAGCTATATGCCGATACATTATGTGTATTTCATAATCCACCATGTTTTTTTTCTAAAAAAAAACTATTTGATGAAATAAACCAATATACACACCTTTACATTTTAGACTAAACTGCACAAATGGTCCCTATGATTAGCTGAAAATTGTCACTTTGGTCCAAAAAGGTTTGGACTAGCACCAGAGGTCCAAAGTTTTCATTTTGTTGCGAGTTTAGTCCAATTTACTTTAAATTTTTTGTATTGATGATTTTACCCTTGTTTTTATGCTTTTTCAGTTTTTTTTATTTAAATATCTTTATGATTAAAAAAAATTAATAAAAATATACCTCTCTCTCCAAACACAATCCAAAACACACCATAACTCTAAATTTCTTCAAAAAAAAAATACGCACATACAAAACAAACAAACTCATAAATCTGAAACATTTCTGGAACTAAATAAACAAAAAATCCTAAAATCGAATGTGAAGCACCAAACAAACCCAGAAAATGAATATGAAATCGTATGTTCTTCAAAATTATTTCTGGAACTAAAAACAGAAAAACAAACCTGTAATCGATTTGTGTGTGTGGGATAGATCAAGAAACATCACCCATTTAAAAGGATCCACTGGACAACATTTTGTTTCTCCCTTGAAATCTAATTGTAAGAAAAGATCAGTAACCTAAATAGAAAACCCAATCGGCTTCAACCTGCCATTAAAATCGATTTATAGCCAAATTGAGCTCGTCGTAAAGGTGGAAGCACTAGAAAAAACAGCGACGAGATCTCGGCTACATGAAGAACTCGAACTCTAAACCACTCATTATCTTCTCCACCCTTATCCCTCCATCACAGCCTACAACCCATCATCTTCTCCACCAGTGGATCTGTTCGTCACAGATCTAGGTTTGCTAGAGTTTGTAGAGGCGGCATTGGCTTCGTTTATCTCCGACAATGACATCCAGCACCATCGGAGTTGTTGAATCACCACCAACAAAAAAAGCTCATCATCACCACTGCTAGAAACCCTAGTTGTGCCGCCTGTCGAAACCATAGCGCCGCCATCAGATGAGAATGGTCTCCAAGAAACCCTTGCCGCCATGAACATTGAACATCCCAGATCTGTGTCTGAGGGAGTAGCAAATGAAGAAGAAGGTAAATGAAGAAGCATAGTTCGCCGATGGATTTGAATCAGATACACAAGGGATTTGAATCAAATGTCGCTATGAACATGTCCAACTCGATGAACGAAGGTGATGGTGGCGGAGTGGGGAGACGCTGAAGTTGAATCAGATGCAAGAGGGATGATAGGAACATATTCATGGTTTGAGGCCAAATTTCTTTTGATTTTCATACCCATACACTAAAACCAAAGAAGATTAATGGTGTTAAGGTTTTAGAAGTGGGAGGCAGACGGCGACTTGAGAGAGAGAGAGAGAGAGAGAGAGAGAGAGAGAGAGAGAGAGAGAGAGAGAGAGAGAGAGAGAGAGAGAGAGAGGGAGGGAGGGAGAGAGAGAGAGAGATATATTTATTTTTATTTTCTTGTTTTGTTTTAAATCTAGAAGTCAGAAAAACAAATAAGAAAAAAGAGAAAATCATATTAACAGGGGCAAATCCGTCATTTTGGAAAAAATCAGAACAGATTGGACAAAAGACGCAACAAAATGAAAGTTTTGGACCACCGGTGCTAGTCCAAACCTTTTTGGACCAAAGCGACAATTTTCGACAAACCACATGGACCATTTGTGCAGTTTAGTCTACATTTTATGTATTATATTATTTATGTTTGAACGGATAATACATTTCATAATGTGTACCGCCTTGAACCGTTCTGATGTGGCTATCATTTCATAAATAATGTCAAAGTTGGATTCTATCGTCTTAGACACGTCCATTCCTTAGAACATAACATTTATGTAAAAAAAACTTACCGTTGAAGAAATAAACTATTTGTCGCCACCGCTTTGCGCGGGTAGGTTAAAATAGAACCGTTATTTAGTAATAGGTTTTAATATATGTATTTCGGTTTTTCTAATATAATCGAATGGTCTTAACACCGTTTCCTAATTAAATTTCACTTAAAAAAAACGAACTTATTATAACCGAAATTGGTCTAAAAATGATTTTAAAAAATAGAAACCGGTTGAAAATCGATATAAAAAACAAATTGTTTGTATAAACTAATTTTTGAAAAAATTATTCACACCCGTAGCTTAGCGCGGGTAAACGGCTAGTAGTATATATATATATATCTATATATATATATATATATATATATATATATATATATATATATATATATAATGAAATGAAATATTTATGTTATTTCTCCGAACATCAATTTTAGTAATTTAGATTTGCATATTATGGATAACCATGAAGAAACCACCACCATCTCCATACCTATGCCGGCCAAAGTTAACCCGGCGGCCAAGAAGGCGCTTTTAATCCTGAGTTGTATCTTGTTATCCATCGGAAACTGTGGTGGACCTTTGATCATGCGGCTTTACTTCATCCACGGTGGCAACCGCGTCTGGTTGTCATCGTTCCTAGAAACGGCTGGCTGGCCTTTTATCCTTGTCGTCCTCATCATTCTCTACTTCCACCGCCGTGCAGCCGGAAAAGATGGAGATAATAAACACACGACATTTATCTACATGCGTCCAAAATTATTTTTTGCGGTGGCGTTTATCGGTGTCCTCACTGGTCTTGACGACTACCTCTACGCTTACGGTGTTGCCCGCCTCCCCATCTCCACTTCCGCCCTCATCCTCGCCCCCCATCTCGCCTTTGTGGCGGTCTTTGCATACCTCCTCGTGAAACAGAAGTTTACACCGTATTCCATCAACGCCGTGGTGCTTCTGACAGTCGGGGCGGCGGTTCTGGCGTTGCATACGAGCAGTGACCGGCCGGAGGGAGAGAGTAAGAAAGAGTACGCGATGGGGTTTGTTATGACGGTGGCAGCGGCGTTGCTGTATGGGTTTGTGCTGCCATTGATAGAGCTAACGTACAACAAGGCAAAGCAGGATATAACGTATACACTGGTGGTGGAGATCCAGATAGTTATGTGTTTGTTTGCTACCATATTTTGTACGGTAGGGATGATAGCCAACAACGACTTTGAGGTACAAACTGTTTTTTCCTTCACACAACATTAGAATTTTATTATAATTAAACTAGATTATTTTCACAACTACTTGTTTTAATGCCAGATAACTCGATTTTTTTTACATTTGACATCAGCTGAAAGTTCTAATTATAATCTAATCTGTCTATCTAGAGACGAATTAGATTATCTTAACAATGAAACATGTCATGATTTATCTATTAAATAATTAAACAGATTACCCCTATAATATCATATGCTTCAAATAATTAATAATCTGTCACATTTTGATTTAATGGATTGTCAATCTTATAATGATGGGAGAAAAATCTAACATACATTTGACGTGTTTAATGTCTTTATATTGTTGGTCCCGTTGTAACATCCTATACCACACACCGTGGTATGTGACGTGTCAACGCGGCGTGCGGTAAACACGACACCAACCCTTTCCGTTGGACTGCGGTAAGCATGTCGCACGAGATGTTTTCACCACAACTCTTTTCTTTTTGAATGTTGTTTTTCTGACCGTTGGCTTCAAACGGTTACTTATTTATTTATTTTTATAATTTTTTTTTACTATAAATTAACATTCTCATTCCGGGTGAATATTATGATGACGTGGTGAGCAAAAATAATTTGGCAGCACGTACTATTCTATTATGTTTTGATTATGTTTTTTTTTAATTAATGAAGTATTTTCTTTTTATTAATTTATATAATTATATTTTATTAGATTACATTTTATTCAATTAAAAAAGTATGATAAATGTTGGTATCACACTCACCATTTTTATGGGGTGAAAGGAAAATGATATAACGTGACAATACAATAGTATTGTATATTATTGTATGACACCCACAAATTTTACAAATAATGACTTTCATATATGATCCTTAATTTCTTATTAAAAGATGTATCATACAACTTTATAGATAGCATATAATGTTTAGTTTTATTTTTAGAATTTTTAGAATTTTTTCATAGAGTAATAACTTATCCGAACTACATTTTCCTTTTGGTATAAAGTCTAACGTCTAACTATAAAGCTACTATGTCAGCATCGTTTGGACTAAAGTCGCCCTCACGATTCGTATATTCAACATTTGACCCCACAACTTTGTCTTTCCAATTTGCAATAAAAACCAAGTGACTTTGACTTAGAGCACATCCCAATCATCAATTTAAATGTATTTTATATTTTATATCTTTTACAATAAAGTGTAAATGTAAGTTACAAATTAGAAGAATCTAAAGTTGCAAAGAAGTTATAGCTATAAAATAGAAAAATAACAAGAAAAACGATTTTTTTTTTGTGGTGACGCTAAAAAAATAAATTGAATATCACTTTTTTTTATTTTGAAAGCACTAATGATATCAAAACGTATAAGTTATGAAATATAATATGTTTTTGATACTAGATATATTTAAAAATAAAAAACAAGAATGTAATTGAAAATTATTTTATAAATAAAGATCATAAAAATAATATAGTGAAGTTTTGGGAACCAAGGAGGTCCATGACACATGATGGCATGGAAGCCATTCATTGTTACAGCTGTGGAGGAGGTCCTGACCATATAAACCGCCCAATTGCGGGTGTTTCTATCCACCTCCAAAACAAGATGCTAAAAGTCTTTAAGATGATTTTCTAATGCTTCATTTTCTTTCATTTGTAACTTTATCCCTTATAATATAAATCTATCACAGAATTTATATTAAAAAAATTGATAAACAGTACCATCTACAAAAATACTATAATCAATCAAATAGTAACATGTATGTATATACCAAAACAACTTTAACACATACTAACCTCCACTACTAGAATATCATATCAAATAAAAATTCAAAAATCTTGATAGCACTCACCATTTTATGCTTCATTCTTTGACTTGGAAACATCACATACGAATCAACTAAATCAATGAAGGTAATAAGTAATGAGTTTAATGAGTTTTATAGAGTTCAACAATATAACAAAAACTCAATATTTAAATGAGAGATGTAGTTGATTTTGATAGAATAATCAACCACATTTATAGAGTTACAAATTATTCAAAGACAATTGTTATTTATGTAATTTTAGGTTAAATTATTAATTCCCAAAAATGGTAACAATCTAACCACAATGGCTGCAATTTTAGATGGTATTTTTGTCTTATAATTTATGGAATAGTTTACATACGGACTAACAAAAAATGAGTGTTTCCTTATGTTATTACAAAACGATGATAGTTGATACATTATTTCATTTTTTGAATTAGATGTGAGATCCATGTATTACATTGGTTTATTTAAAAGAAAAATTAAATATGAAATTCTAAACATTTGAAAAGTTTGAATTTATAAGAAAAGTGAAAAAAATATTAAATTATTAACATTAAAGTGTTATTTTCTTTTTTAAATTTAAGCAAATAATTTAGATAAATAAACAAAGAAACTAATGAGGTTTTAATTTAATAATTTTGAAACCAGAAGAAAAATGAAAATTGATATGCATTTATTATTATTTATTACATTTAAATATTATGTAAAATTTAATAAAATGAAAAAAAAAATTAAAAAAAACATATCCACTCTAATAAATGAAGGTTTTTTTTGTCACCTGTAACATTCTCATTCAATTTGTCAAATGTCATTTATTGGTTATTTTGAATAAATTTCTTTTCCACATGTCATTTTATAGGTTTTTCTATTTTAATAAATTCCACATAGACAATTGACTTTACTGCACCCGCCTTTGATCAACCATAGATGTTGTTTTATATCTATTTCAATTATTTTGTATATTTTTGTGGAACTAACCAAACATTATGTGAGTTGCGTGTTATAGATAAGACGTAGAAATTGTTTGAAAATAGGGATAATGAATGTCAAAGATATCGAATATTAAAGAAATATGAGATATTTTGGAAATTGTGTATTTATACTTTCTTTAACTTATAATTTCAATCTACAAGAGTTATACACAATCAAATTTAATAAAATTCATCAAATCACTCTTTCGAATTTCAAGTAAAACCAAGACCAAACAGAAAATATATGTTTTGTTTTAGTTTTACGAGAGAAAGAATTCGTAAAAAAAAAAAAAAAACAAACACACACACAAGAGAAAAATGTCGCAAAACCAAAAACCTATAGACGTATGTGCGGGATAGTTAATTGCGGCTGGTTTTGGTGGGAAAACTCGTGTCCTTTAGCATGAGACGCATTGATAGATTTTGGTAGAAAATTTACAAATTGAATGCTTCATCATGGACACAGTTTATGGATTATTGATTTTGCAATTGTTTCATTTGTAGGTGATTCGAAGGGAAGCAACGAGTTTTGAGTTAGGACCGACTAAATATTACGCAATATTATGTCTTAGCGCTTTAATTTGGCAATGCTTCTTCTTGGGAGTCATAGGAGTAATATTTTGTGCATCATCATTGTTATCAGGGATCATAATTGCAGCTCTACTTCCTGTGACTGAGATATTAGCTGTAGTTTTTTATAAAGAAAAGTTTCAAGCCGAGAAAGGTGTTGCACTTGTTTTATCTCTATGGGGATTTGCTTCTTATTTTTATGGGGAATATAAGCTCATAAAAAGATCAAGTGAACCAAAAATCTTCTCAAGAACAAATGGAGATGTCTCAACCTAATTATGCGTAGATGTCTCAACCTAATTATCCATCGAATATAATCGTAGATGTTTATACATTTTCATTTAATATTGTTGTTGTATTTTGATTCATATTGAAGCACTTTCTATGCACAGTTAAAATTCAATGATATGAAAAAAAATATATATTTGTATACTTATTTTTATGGGGCCTCGACTTTTTGAAGGTAAAGACATTGCAAATGTAGTTGGTGCATAGATGGTTCGTTTCTTTATCACTTAATTGTATATTTATGAGTTGTTTTTTTTTTTTTTTTTTTTTTTTTTTTTTTTTTTTGTATCAATTATTTGATAAAAAAATTATTATAGAGTTATTTTATGATATGTTTGTTCAGAATTGACGGGATAATGAAGTGATTTGTGGTTATGCTATGTTTATCATAAATTCTTATGAAAACTAGACTGTTCATCGCCGCGTCATGTGAACTCCTTCTATCACAATTTTTGAATAATTAAGGCACACTAGTCGCAATATACATTTTACTCCCCTAAGTGTCCATATGCGCAAACTACCATTTTTTATGCTCACCTACCAAATTAATGGTCAATATATTGCCAATTTATCACGTTGAAATAAAACACAAGAATGTTTTTATAAAAAGAAATTAAATATACACCTATATTTTATTCCTACAATCAGAAAACATATAATTGGATTTAAGGTATGTAGGCTCCCTTGGTTGTAGGCATGGCCCAAATACTTGGGTTGCAAATTATTGACTAGCCAAGTCCATCAAAAATAACTCAAAGTAGATCAAATGTGAGCACCCAAACTAAGCTCAATCCACGCCTCCACGGGAAGCCTGGCCCATTCGACTTTTAATAATTTTTTGGTATAAAATATTCAAATAGCTAAATTTATATATATTGAATACTAGGTTAGGTTATAACACGTGTAATACACGGGAATGACAACTAAAACAATTTTGAAATTAATAATACATTTTCAAAGTTTGAGGGCACTTCATACACATTAGACTAATTGTTAAACACTTGCATAAATTAGAATTTCTTTTTCTTTTATCAAACAGAAATTATTCTTTATTATTACATATAACTGCCCACATTTTTTAAACTTATAAGGCACTGTGCATAAAAAATAAAAATAAACCTCTTTTGACTCTAAAATACTCACTTTTGAAATCATCCAAAATTCTGAAAGTCCTTGATTTAATATTTGCATAACATTTCATTCTTGGTTTATTACTGATTTTTAGGGATTTGTATTATCAAGAAAATAGGCAACTAACTTATAGGCTACAATTCTGAAAGTCCTTGATTTTATGCAAGTATAGTTACGAAAATAAAATTTGAAACGGAATTTTTGGTTTAAGCTGAATAATAAGAAAATAGAAAAACGACACATGACAATATGGCTTTTGAAAAATTGACATGTGGTAAAAATTGATTTTGTTTATAAGAAGAGGTAGATTTGTTATGTTTTAAGACTGATATGGGCTGCACGTGTTTATATTCATTTGAATGACGAAGTCCCTAGATGGTGCATTGGTTTGTGACTTTGTGTTGCAGACTGAAGTTACCATAATCAACTCCTTAAAACTTAAAAGAGTTCACTACTAAATTCCATTTCTTTTCAAACTCGGGTTTACAAATACTCAAAAAAAGTATTTTTATATAAGAATACATAAACATAACATGTATTCTATAAATACATAATATATATATATATATATATATATATATATATATATATATATATATATATAAATACGTATCTAATAAACACATATTTGTATTGCTTCATTGATTACTTAACTGGCTAATGGTAATTGTAATGATATTTTTACCACAGCCGTTTTGCATAGATACACATATTATAGATTTATGTTAATGGTATAGATATTTTCGTTTCATTGTCTACACATGTTTTTAGTAGGAAACTACTCGTCGCCACCGTTTTACGCGAATACATACTAGTACGTAATAAAAAAGATAATATATTTTATAAGTATTTATATTTTTTGGGTTATCATATTGGCTTATTAAAATTTTGGAACGTGAATTATAAAATGTAAACTTTTATGCATGGATACAAGTTAATAAGATTGGAAGTTTGATGATATAACATTAAATAGTGGCGGAGCCATGATCAAAATAAAATGATATTCTCAAAAAATTTCCTAAAAAAATTATACTACTGAAAGTTTTTTGAGAGGCATGCCGAGCTACCTAGGAACCACCTAGATCCGCCTATGACATCAAATCAAGTGAAGTGATATCTAGTCTTGAATTCAATCCAAATTAATACAATTTATAGAAAACAGTTCAATTAAAAAAACTCATATTTTGCTATATTATATGGTGTTTTTCGTTCATTTTAGATCAATTAAGTTTTCAAAATGACTTTTCTATATATTATGTAATTTTCATGAGTTGTTTAGTAATCATCTTTTTAACATGTTACCATAAATTTGATGAGTGAGTCTGACTCTGTCTTAAATTGTTTCATGTTAATGATCACTACTAAACTAACATTGATGTTGGTTAGTATTTTTCATGGAGAAGAGTTATGTTGTCTTCCTGTTGATAGGGGACCAACTGTGTCAATGTCTTCATCATGGAGAATAGTTCGTTATTTAAGACTGAAGTAGGAGGATCCTGGGATCCCAAGGATCCTGGAGCAACCAGAGTGTTATTCTCAAGGTTCTAAAAAGCTCGACATGGCTCCGCCATGACGCGTCATGGCTCCAAGGCTTGTACCTGCCGCCAAGCTTTACCAAAACGCTGCCTTAACTCATATATGTATATAAAATAGAATAATCGTTGAAAATACATATACAAATATTAATTATATACAAAATTGCCGCCTTAAGTCACGCCTTACAAACGATGTGGCTCGCCAAGGCTTGAAAAAGCTTCGGGCTTGACATTGCCGCCAAGTCACGCCTTACGTTATTTAGAACCTTAATTGGTTCTTCTTTGGTACATCGGAAGTCTTCTTCTGACCAGGGGGTCCGCTTGGAGGAGGTGGAAGATTTTTCGAAGGAATAAAGGGAATAGAGGAAGAAGAGAAGGTCGGGTGTTTAGACATGATTTTCAAGGATTATAAACATCACGGCCCCACGGTGGGCACCAAATTGTTTTGGTTAAAAATCAATCGAGTGAATATCAACAAATTGAATGAGAGGCTGTGGTGTTGTAGGTAAAGTGTTTATCGAAATAGAACAAGATTGCACAAGTGATTTACAAGGAAAGCCCTTGATCCTTGCTAGGATCTCCGACATAAAACTTTGGGAGGTGATAATGATCACCTACCTTGTTAATTTCTATTAATTGAAAGATCGATTACATAAACGAAAGTAAGTAAATGAGTACAAGTATTGCAGTGAGTCTAGGTATGTGTTGTGTGCGAAATACATGTGTATTTATAGTCTAGTCTAAGTAACAATAAGTTTGATATTTCCGGGATCTTCTCGAATAAAAATGAACATGTCGGTTTGACTTGGTATTCCCGGGTCTTTTGCTTGATTGAAATGTTTCTTTGTTGAGAATGAGTCTTATGTTAACTAATTCTATACACATGAGAAAAAGACTAGAAATATATCTGTCAGAAATGTTAGGAAATAATAATAATAATAATAATAATAACAATGGTCAGGATCCTAAGATATGTTAGGGATCTTGAAAGTTCTTAAAGATCCGAGATCCTGAATAGTATTGAGGATCTTGGCCCTAACAATTTCCCCCAAATTATACCTGCGAAATATTAAAGTAAATCTCTAAATATTTAAAGTTATAATTTAATTTAAATGGAGATAAGATTTTTAAATTTCAAACCCTAACAGATAGAATTTATCCGTTTAACCCTCATAATGGCACGGTTAAATCAATCCTCTCTTTCTTGTTTCCCACATAAATAGGGGTACTAAGTGAAAAATTCTTTCACTTGTTCCCTGATTATCTTCGGCTATCCCAAAGGTATCCTTCTTCTTCCTCTTATTTAGTTTTTTCAATATCTTAAGCATGGGTAAAAAGATGGTTCACTCTCGCGCTAGCATCATTGCCCCTTATGACGATGACTTCATCGATCAGAAGCTCCTCACTTATGGTGAGACTTGTTCGTTTGACGAAGAGGATATTGGGTTCCTGAAATCCAATGGGTATTTTGCCATATACACGATTTTTAAGTCTTTTGATGCTTCGATTCAACCATATTTTGTTTCTTCCTCTTGGATATGTTGTCCTAAATACCCCTTTTCTTTGGGTTTAAAGTAACCCTTTTCTAGAATTATTTATGAGTTTTTCGAAACCACAAAAATATCATATATCCAAGCCGTGTCTGTGATATGGAGGATCCTATTTCGGATAAATCAGTTGAACCAATCTAACGATCTAGGCATAGGCGTCGCTGAACTGGCTCATGTTTAAGATCTTTCCACCTTTGGGAATTCTCGTTTTTTTCTTAAGCTTAAACCCAACAAATCTCCACTCATTTTGAAATCAAAACACAACCCCGCATCCCAACTGTTAGCTACACTTAGGCCGGCAGGCCGGGGTGACAAAGTCATTTCAATTCCGACGCCTGAAGAACGTCGTTTAGGTCACCAATGGTCAAGTATGGTTATGACAGCTCGCAAATTTGGTACTAACAATACGATTAATGTATGAATGGAAAACAACTTCACTTAGTTTGTTTATATATAAAACTACAACAATGTATTTTTATAGAACATCTGGTGTATCCAGGAAATTACAAACTACAAAGTCTTTATCCGTATACAATCACAATATAGTATTTTCTAGTACAAAACATACTTTTCTGAAGGAACGTTTAACTAGGGGCATACATACAAACAGGGTTGCATACAAATACAACTGCAAAACATTACATTTACAAATGGGACACAACAGAACATACAATTCATTACAGCAGAAAATATAGGATTTTCTGGAAGAACTCACATCCATTTTCAAAAGGACCATTACAGTTAACTCTGTAAGTAACTTGTGAATACGTTA